ACCTATGTTTCTTTGGGCCTGACTTACTTCACTTAATATAATTTTTTCCATGTCTTTCTATTTTCTTACAAATGAGGTGATATCATTCTTTCTGATGGAAGCATAAAATTCCATTATGTATATATACCACATTTTCTTGATCCATTCATCTACTGAGGGCCATCTGGGTTGGTTCCATATCTTAGCTATGGTAAATAATGCTGCAATAAACATAGTTGTGCTGGTAGCTTTAGTATGGCCTTGTTTGTGATCATTCGGTTAAATGCCCAAAAGTGGGATTGCTGGCTCATAGGGGAGCTCTATGTAGAATCTTTTGAGGAACCTCCATACTGCTTTCCAAAGTGGTTGAACAAGTTTACACTCCCACCAACAATGCAGTAGGGTTTAAAGAAGTGTTTATTTTGTTTGGTTGGTTGGTTTTTGTTTCTGGCTTTTGCAATTCTGGGAATTCAGAGCCTTGTACTTGCTAGGTACGCATCACACTCTTAGTCCTTTTGCTTTGTTTTTATAGTTAGGGTCTCACGCTTTTACACAGTCCTATCTTAGACTGTGGTCTTCCTAACTCCATCTCCTGAGTAGCTGAATTATAGGCATGAACCACCATACTTGTCTCAAGAAGCATTTATTTCAATGCTTCCCTCCCTGTCGGGGAACTCCATTGACTTGATACTCTTGACCTCTCTCCACAACATCACGCATAAAGCAACTTTATTCATGCTTTTATAAATGAGAATGAGAAGAATGTATTACATAGTTATGAATATGGAAATAAAATAAGCATGTTCAGGTGAGCGTTCCCTTTCTTCATCTTAGAACTTAGATAGCCAGAGGATAATTTACTCATAGATAAATAATGAATTTCCAGTCCAATTAGTAAAATTCCCACAGCAGGTTATTTGTTTAGTACATCTTTAAGGCATATCTCCAACATGCTGGGTTCTGCCTGTCTTTTTTATTTTGTGTCCTCCTGCTACCCAGAAGTATTGCTCCCTTTAGAAAACTCCACACCAGCCTCTCTCCGCTCAGGCTGTTGCAGTATCTTTTCTTTCTTTTTTCTTTTTTTCCAGTCCTGGGCCTTGAACTCAGGGCCTGGGGCACTGGCCCTGCACTTCTTTTGCTCAAGGTTGGTACTCTACCACTTGAGACACAGCACCACTTCTGGCTTTTTGCATTTATGTGGTACTAAGGAATTAAATCCAGGGCTTCATGCATGCTAGGCAAGCATTCTACCACTAAGCCACATTCCCAGCCCCTGCAGTATCTTTTCTTTCTGAAATTTTGAATTGGCTCAGAGGTAAGAATTATGAGTATCAGTGAACTTGGAGATCTTCAGGAAGAAAACATTCAGTAGTGATCTTACAAATCGTGAAACTCAGGTGACTGTTTTTAAGGTATCTGGCAAATCTTCCCATGGCCTAACCACCATCCATCATGAGGGGCTAGTAATGTACACTTTTGGCTAAAGTTCTCTTCCTTGGAGAGGAACTTAACAAGTGTGCCCTTTCCTCCTTATTAGAGTGTTATTTTATTTTACTTTATTTTATTTTTGTGCTTGAGCTCAGGGTCTTGTGCTCTCACTTGTTTTTCCTTTTTCCCACAAGGCTAGGACTCTACCACTTGAGCCATACCTCCACTTCCAGCTTTTTGCTGGTTAATTAAAAATAGAGTCTTATGGACTTTTCTGCCCAGGCTGGCTTCAAATCTTGAGCCTCAAATCTCAGCCTCCTGAGTAGTTATGAGTACAGGTGTGAGCCACCAGGATGGTACTTAACTTTACTACTTTATATAATGGTCTGGCTTCCTTTTCTAGCCTGTAAGCTCATTTCTGCCTTGTTTATGGCTATATCCTGATTGTCTAGAATATAATAAATGAATAAAAACTTTCATAATGTACTCGCTGGAACAAGAAAACCAGAATATATACTGTCCAGGTTTAATCAGTAGTCTCTCTGTAGTCTCCCTGTTTAACTTTGGAACTGCTTAGCAATGCTATACTTATAGCCAGAGAGTGTTTTCAGTAGCTTATGATAAAGTCAACACTCACCAGGCAAAAGATACAGCTTATAAGTAAGGGAAGAGGACCCAAGGGAAACCTTATCAAGAAATCTTGTGAAGGTGTAACTTTGCATCGCAATCAGTACAAGATCTCTTCTCCCGAGCTGCCTTTTCTGTCGTGTGTGGAGTAAAGTTCACTTGGACATTCAAACCTGATTTGACAATATTATTCAGAGTCCTAGAGCTATTTCTACGAAACTGTCCAACATTTTCTACAGTTAAATGATCACCTACGTAACCGCTCATAACACCATCCTTTTCTGAGGTCAATTTAAACAACTACATACTTGTCCTTTCTTTTCACATACTTCCAGGTACTAGGCAGGAGGGAGAAGCAAGATTTTACCTAGCCGGATAGTTTTTCGAATGGTGTATATTGGAGCATCTTTGAAATCTTCTGGTCTTATGGTTACCCTAAATATAAGGATATCTAGGTGGATGATTTTTTTTATAAATTATCTTTAGTTGTACAAAGGGGTTTCAACATTTTAGATTATGAGTGCCTGGCATCTTGATCAATAACACCCTTTCCATTATTCTCTCTCATCTCTCTAACCCCACTCATCTCAGGTTATCTACTTCCATTTTCACAGATGTACATGGAATATTAAGAGCGAATTCTCCCATGTTTTAGATTGATAATCCCTAACGAAGTACACCAAATCATGAGGTTGCAATCTACATGAAGATAGAGTATTCCAAGAGTTCTCAATTCAATTCAGCATTTCACTGGATCTTTGGCAGTGGGTTGAAAATTTGCATCACTATTCACACTACTCTTGAGTATCCAGAAGTTACTCCTGGAATTTGGTGTGTGTGTGTGTGTGTGTTACTACTAGGTCTTGAACTCATGCTCTTTCTTGGTTCTTTTCCTCAGGCTGGCATTCTACCACTTGAGCCACACCAATACTTCTAGCTTTTTGATGGTTAACTGGAGATAAAAGTCTCAGATTTTTCTGTCCAGTTTGGCTTCTAACAACCATCCTCAGATTTCAGCCTCCTGAGTAGCTAGGAGGCATGAGCCACTAGTGCCTGGCTGTGCAATTTGAATATTGAATATTTTTGTCTTTAAAAGAAAACCCTTTTGATTCCAACCCAAATCAATTGTACCTAGCAAAGGCATTAAAACCTAAACTTTACTGTTCTAAAATATAGGCATAAGATGATCTCAGCTAGTAAATACTCGGGACCACTGAGATTATAGCTGGTGCTCTAAAGATGACAGGTGTGTGAGGGGATAGAGAGTCAATCCAGAAATCCATCACAGAGAAGAGTACAATGAAGGGAAAACATGGAGCTCTCGAAAAGAACTTTTCAACAGAGCCCTAGATTCCAGATGCTCTTGCAGACACACAGAGACACTCTGACTCTTAATGGCTGCTCATGGTCTAGTAAATCCCTGATTCCCTTCTCTTCACTCCCATGATGTATTGGGACTGGACCAGACCCAGTGTGTACTTCCTCACAACCGCCTTATTGAGAAGACAGATTTTAGAGTTAAGACTCAGAATCTGAGGGATTTATCCCAGACCGGACAATAAGTAGCTGGCAAGGCCAGAACTCACATTCCAAACTTCTGATGCTTTAATTTTATTCTTCATCTGCAATGTGTCTCAACATCTTGGGGATGCCAAAAGATCTGCGGGACTACTTAGAACCTTAAACTATGGAGGCATCTCAAGACTTCAGGCTAGTTCCAGGGAGTAATGAGCTTGAGCTAGGTGGACTTAGCCAAATATTCTGTCCATGATCAGCCCTCTGTCTGAGGACAGTCCAAGACTCCTAGGGTACAGAGAAGACCCACAACCTTAGTGTTCCCCCTAGCGAGGGCCAGTCAGCCAATCATTTTCCCAAACAGGTTTTGGAGGAGTTTATTTTATTATTCTCACTCTTATATGGGTTAAGGGCTTAGACAAAGCTGCTGGAAATTCATGTGAGCCTGGCCTGGTGGTCCATGCTTGTAATCCCAGCCCCTTGGGACAGGGAGACAGGAAGATCATGGTTTGAGGCCAAGTAAGAACCAAAGTTGGCAAGACTCTGTTTCATAAACAAGCCCACAGGCATGATGGTACTCACTTGAGATCACAGCTGCTGAAAAGATGGAGGTAGAAGGATCACTGTTTAAGGCTAGCCCAGTCCGAGTTAGCAAGAGACACTCTCTGAAAAGAAAGGGAAAAAAGCTAAAAGCTAAAAGGATTAGGGATGTGACTCAAGTAGTAGAGACTTGCCTATCAAGTGCCAGGCCCTGAATTCAATCCTCATTACACCACACACACACACACACACACACACCACCACCACCACCACCACCACCACCATCATCATCATCATCATCATCATCACATCAAGGTATGTTGTTTCTGGAAGTTGTAGAGGCTTTTGTTGTTGTTTTTCATTTTTTGTTTTTTTGTTGGTCCTGGGGCTTGAACTCTGGGCCTGGACACTGTCCCTGAGCTTTTGTGCTCAAGGCTAACACTTGAGCCACAGCACCACTTCTGGCTTTTTTATTGATGCTTCACTGGAGATAAGAGTCACACAGACTTTCTGCCCAGGCTAGCTTCAAATCACGATCCTCAGATCTCAGCATCCTGAGTAGCTAGGACTACAGATGTGAGCCACTAGCGCCCAGCAAGAATAAGATCATGTTCAAATCCCTTGACAATCCTGTGGGGCAAGAGAAGAGAGGCTAGAAGTTAACTGCTCCAAAGTGGTAACAGACTGCAATCCCTCTTGGGTCTTCAAAAATCTCCAATCCCTGGCCTTTGCATATGGTGGTGAGCACCAGGCTACACTTGGTCTGCTTGAGGACGGAAATCGATCTTCCCATTCTTTCTTTCCAGTAGTCCAGAGGGGTTGGGATGAAGTTTAAGGGCAGAAGAGGCAGAGGGAAGCTTCCGGAGTCCAGGAAGCAGGCTGGGGTGGCAGGGCTGTCCGCAGATGCCTTCCTAACACTCGGGGTGGACCACGGTCCCCAGTCCTGACCCTCGCCGCCATCCAGGCTGCACCTGGATGCCCGGAAGTCCAGGGGGGAGTCGTGGGTGGCAGGCTGGGTGGAGTGGGAGGACGAAGAGGAGGGAGGTGGGGGGGGGCCGGGACGCAGTAATGTTAGGGGCTGGCCTGGTCATGTGACTCCGGGGGGCGGGGCGAGGCGGGCGGGCGCGGGGAGGGTGCGGAGGGGGCCCCATCTGAATAATTGAGGAGCTGCTCGCAGCGGCGGCCGCCTCCGGCCTCCCTCTGCCGCCGCCTCCACCCGATCCCAGCCGCAGACAGCCCCGCGCCCTGCGCAGACCTCCCTCCCGGCCGCGCGGCCCGGCCCCCGGTGAGTGCCGGGCCCCGCTCGCGCCTCGCCCCGTCCCTGTCCGCGACCCAACGGGAGCCCGATCGGGGTGGGGGGGGGTGAGGGGAGGAAGCGGGAACATGGCGCGCATTGGCGAGGGCGCCCTCCGGGAAGGGTCCCCCCGCACCCGAGAGGAGGAAGGAGCTGGCCACGGTCTGCCCAGCTCGGGCGGGGAGCCGGGCCCACATTGCACCCGCGATCGGGGGTGGAGGGGGGGCGTCAGGCTCGGGGGTGCGACCCCCGAGAGCTGCCCGGTGGGGCGGGAGCGGGCCGGGAGCTGTGTCCGGATCTCCCGGGGCCCCGTCCTCCCCGCCTGGGCACCCGCCTGGGCACGCACCCGCCTCGGCTGGGCGGCCGCGGACCGAGCCCCAGGAACGGCGGCCACCGAGGAGGGCGGGGGCGATGTCTGCCCTGCAAACTCTTCCGAGGGACTCCGGCTGAGCGGGAAGCCGCGCCGAGGGTCGTGCGCTGCAGGGGCGTCCGCGGCCGGCGGACAGCGACGCGAGGGGCACGGGACGGGACGAGGGTCCGGGGCCGCTCCCCGCCCGGGGCGGGAGGAGGGCGCATCCTCCCGGACCCCCCCCCCCATCGCACGTCAGAGCCAGAGGGCCAGAGCCGGGCTGGGTGGCCCCCGAGAGCCCTTTTGGCTCCTGAGTCACCAAATGCGTCTTTGGAGACGGTGATCGGCGAGCGAGGAGCCGGTGGGGGTGGCAGAGAGGAGATGCGGGAAGGAAGGATGGAGCGGCCGGGCTGCCGCCTGCCCCTGCCGGTCCGCATCTCCCTACCTGTGCGAGACTGGGTTCGCTGAGATCCAGAGAGGCTCACGGGGTCGGGCCCGGCGAAGGGCACAGTCGCCCTAGAGGCGTGGGCAGGCGACTGGCCGGAGCCGGCCCAGGGCCGCGGGAAATGTGGGTTCGGGGCTGGGGAGCGCGCGCGGCGCGCGTGGGGCGGGGGCACTGTCCGTGGTGCTGAAAGTTGTGAGCGGCGCCGCCGGTGGCTTTCCTCCCGCCAGCCCCGCCGTCCTGCGGGGGGCGGGCAGCCGCGAGGTTGGGGGGGGTCCACTTACAGGGTGGGTCTGGTGTGGACCCCCTGGGTTTCTGCTTGTCTGTCCTCCCGCCTCCTCCTGGCACTTTTAGGAGGAAGAGCAAGAAGCTGGTGTCACTCCAGGATCCAGCCTGCTTCACTTGGGCGGCTGTCTTGCTGTCAGTAAAGTGTTGAAAACACAGTTAAGGATTCCGTTTTGGTAAACATGGTTGTGGCTTTCAGGAAGCAGAGCGTTTCAAAAAAAACGGGGGGAGTGGTTTCATTAAAAATGAGACTGGGATTTGTGTTTGGCTTCCCTCCCCCCCCTTCCTTTTTCCACACCCTCCTCTCCTCCCCACATGTTATAAACAGCCTCCAGATATAAAATGTTAAGTCGCTTAGTGTGTTTCTTTTCTTTTTGCCGGGTGTGGGGTTTGAACTCAAGGCCTGGATTCTGTCCCTGAGCTTTTTCTGTCCCCTGAGCTCTCCCACTTTGAGCCACAGCTCCATTTCCAGTTTTCTGGTGGCTAATTGGAGATAGGAGTCCCACAGACTTTCCTGCCTGGGCTGGCTTTGAACCTTGATCCGCATATCTCAGCCTCCTGAGTAGCTGGGATTGCAGGCATGAACCACTGGCACCCACCTTTTCCCTTTGTAATGTGTGTCTTTCACATATCATGGGAAAAGCAGCATGTCAGTTTGGGGAAGCCATGTTATAAGAGTATTTACTGAACATCTACTAACTGCAGGGTAATACTATCTTATCTAAACTTCACAGTCATTGCTAACCAGAAGCATCACATCGATAATAAATTTCCAGTTAGGAACCTTGAATCCAGTGTTTGGATTTAAATTCAAGTTTGCTTTTCCTCCAATATCCAAGCCATTTCATCTCATTCTGGTATTTGGCTTTGGATAGCTGTTGTAAGGGAATAGAGCTATATAGCTAAAAATAGCAAAGGAGAGAGGCTTGCTTTCCTTGTGTACACACACACACACACACACACACACACACACACACACACTATTGTCTCTTCCAGCCCTTTCCTCATATACCATTCACCTCCCACCTGTTCACACAACTTGAACTTCAGTAGCACAGAAACAGGCTACAGGACTAAATCAACTTTTGCTTGGATGAACCACAGGAATACAGGAAGTATGAGCACCAGAGCCCACATGTGATTTCATACTTAGAATTATATCATTAAGTTTAGGGCTAGAATAACCTGAAAGATCTACCCATACCATTGTGCCTGAAAATTTCTTCCATGCTCATCCTTCTTTCATTATCTTTGACAAGAATACCAGCATCAGTAAACTATATTCAGTACTACATCACAAACACCTAAGATATAAGCAGCCTACTTAGCTATCTTTGCTTTCTGCTTCCTCTGTCTGGTTTACTATTCCAGTGTTGTCTGACCCAACCTGCCTGGTTCACTATGATGAGCTTCCTTAGGAACAGGTTCCTTGTGGCAGCAATTCACCACAAGAATGACACAATGTCAACTCTTCACTTGCCCTTCAATTGTCTACACTTCCTCTTCCCCTCAAAATGATCTTCCTCAAATCAATTTCCCTAAGCACCTTCCCATTCTTTCAGAGGGACTTGGGAGAGTCCCTGAAAAGATCTAGGTGGAAGCAAAAATTGTAAATGCTTACCACATGCAAGGCTCATCCATGCTGTCTTTTCATCTAGTTTCATTGGATTCTTTCACTGAAGCTGCAGCTCACTCTTAGAGCAGATCCTGAGGTTCTGCTCATTTCTTCCTGTTTCTCTTTCTATCCTTGGGTAAAATACCATCCTTATTAATTAAAGTCCTATAGTCCTAGTATTTGCATTGACATGAAGACTGCTTTATGCTATATTGATGGTTCTTACCCTGCTCTGATATTTTAGTTGCAGACATTCAGATTTATTTCAAAAGGCTGCTCAGTTCTTTCATCTCTTTCATATTTCATATTTCAACAACATATTATCCCCCATTTTAACCCTTTCTTAATATGTTGATATGCCTTTGTGTTGCTAATGCCAATATTCTGCCTCAACCTCCTCTAGAGCTAATTAATGCATACCAACAATTAAAGAATAACTTCACTAATTGATTCCTCAAAGGTGCTATTTTTCTGGGATGTTCTGGGCCCTGGGCACCAGAGCCTGACTGTTTAGAACCTCTCTGTTCAATATGATAGCCACCAGTCACATATAGTCATTCAACTTTTCAGAAATAAGTAGCTCAGTCACACCAGCCAGATTTCAAGTGCTCAGGATGTGCTGAATGGCTGGCTACTTTATTGGATTGTGCAGGTGTGGAAAATTTCCATCACTATAAAAGTTCTATTGGACAATGCTCTTTAGAAAGTACTAACAAGATCCTTACAGCAATGAAGGGAGGAAATCAAAGCTCTAAGATGCTGCTCTGAAGCATCTGCCAATAAAGGAGAAAAAGCCACGTGCACCTAGCCCATATGTCTCCTGCACCCCCAGGCACCCAGGACCATTAGGCTGGCAAGGAAAGCACATCCTCTGTTTAAGGTGCTGGTGGTTCCTGGAGTTGCTTCATATATGGATCCCCTCCACCCCCTTTTTAAAATCAGTAATGGGGCTTGAACTTAGGGACTAGGCACTGACCCTGAGCTTTTTTCACTCAAGGCTAGCACTCTAACACTTTGAGCCACAACACCATTTCCAGATCTCTGCTGATTAATTTTGACTTTCCTCTCTGGGCTGACTTTGAACTGTAATCCTTAGATCTCAATCTCCTGAATAGCTAGAATTACAGGCCTGAGCCACTAGTATTTGGCTCATGTATTCCATTTTAAATGTACATTACAATGTCCCAGGAATGGAGTTTGCTGGATTCCTATATTTCAGTTTAAAATATAGTGTTGCTTTTCCAGAATTCAGGTTCATGAATCATATTGTGGTGTGTGTGTGTGTGTGTGTGTGTGTGTCTGTGTCTGTGTGTCTGTGTGTGTGTATGTGTGTAAATACCATAGGATCTGGGATAAGTAGTAGGTATACCAATTGCAAGAAAAAGCCCTCCCAAAATTTCATCCTTTTATCTATACAATGTTGATACGAATTTCTATAACCATCTCAAAAGGCTATTGTAAAGCTAAAAGTGTAGCAGTATGTAGATAATAATTGACTACAGTTGGTGACCATTTCATATTGATATGATGTCATATAAAACTAAGGTGGTTTAAGTTGAATATGTTTCTAAAGGCTTTTCATCTTTGGTATGAATACATTTGCCTTTATTGGGATTTATTTCACTGAAAAGTAATTTGTTGAAATAAATTGTTAAGATTTCTGATTGGCTAGATTCTATTTAAAATGCTATGAATTGTTAGTGATTTATTTTATTTGATCTCAAACATTTCCCTCTGGGGTATAAAAAAACTAAGAAGTTCAGTAGCTTGAAATAGCTTTTACCTTTAAACTAACTACTCTAAGTGATTTTTGGGTAGTTATCCTGACATGATATTAGGGATTTAGAGATAACAAAAATATTATTAATCTTCCTGAATAGGAGTGGGTGAGACAGGTACTTAAAAAGAAATATTTCTATTAGTTGCTAATTGAAATAAGCTTCTTTAATTTCACAAATCAATCTAATAAAAATAATTCTATATCATATATACATATATATTGATAAAAACAAAAATAAAAGTAAAATCATTTCAATGGGCTGAATGTTTGAGGTTGCATTAAGAATTCTGGCCTTGACAAAGGAGTGTTTATGTTATATTTTCTTTAAGTAAAATCTTTGGTGTCATAAGTAGAACTCTCTACACCCATCTAACATTTACTCCCAACTTGAGACATAGTACCTACTCCCGTACCTTGTTCAGTGTTTTTTATACCCCCAGCGGAATGCTTTCCACATACCGTGTTTAATGGCTGACATTGAAGAAGAGGGCCTGGAAATGAAGTCATTCTGTCAGATGGTTCTTAATTATATTATATTGATTGCAGTTCATCTTGGAAACTCTGTGGTGCCATTTTGCTTATCTATTTATCTGTCTAAGAATCTTCCTATTTATCATCTATTTATATGTAACTAGCTAGCTAGCTATCTGTCTGTCTTTCTAAGTAACTGTCTAGCTATTGGCAAAGCACCTGAAAAATCAAAACTAAGTATGGTCAAAAGGCATTTGATTCTGGTTCAGCTTTTCTGACAAGGTATTTCCTTTCTTAGGGATTTAAGTCTTCACAAAGACTTTACACTGTTCTTGTAAGATGCTTTGCATGGGCAATAGCTGAGCCATACTCTTAGTCCCTGGTGTTTGGCAAGCATGCCATTCTCAGGCCTTGGTTTCCTGTGGAATTATGTTACTGAAGGGAAAAATGAATAAACCTGTCAGCTCTGGCCTCTCACAGACCACGTTGGTTTTAATAACAATCATGTTATCGGAAAGTTGTTTATTCAATTGAACAGCCTGGATTTTAGAAAGGAAAAAAATACCATTACCTCAGAGCTGAAAAAGAAGTTAATTTTCCAAGTCTGTGGCTTAAAATATTTCTCTAATTTAATTTTTTTTTAAAAAAGAGAATTG